CACATCAAATAGACGTATCTGTGATGTACGTGTGCTATCAGCTGTGTGCCTCAAAATTATTCAAAGTCTAAAAAAAAAGTCAAGGTCTGAATATGTTGCATGTACCAGAGAGAAACTGTTTGCCTTTGAAATGAAAATGCTGGGAAAGATCTGCTTAAAGTTCAAACAATTCGATTGGCCTGAATCAAAGCTCAAGACCGTTTTACAATGGTCAAAGTCTGTTTTATTCAATATAATAAAGCTGGGACATAAAGGTGCATCATAACGTGCTAATATTATGTAAGACTCACAGACAACACTTCCCGTGACAAGTCCAAACATGTCAGCGAACAACACTTCATCAACATAGTTGAGCTCTGTGATGATTCTATGGAAGAAAAAAGTTGATGGTAAAAAAAAAAAAAAAAAAAAAAAAATTCAACTCCACCAGTGAGGTCGTGCTTATCTCTCTTCCCAAACTCTGTTTTTCTACCTCCCTCAGATCATACAGAACACAAAAAAACAGGTTTAGCTCAACATGCAAATCATCAAGCCTTTACAGCTCAAACATGAACATTAACTCGCTCCACAAAATGACTTTGGAAAAAAAAAGAAAGAAAAGGCAACTCACTCTGTTGTTGCTCAAGTAACACTCAAGGAGCTCTGCGAGTTATGACTGGAATGTTCTTCCAAATGAGTTGAAATTTAGAGGCTTTTCTTTATCTCTCATACAACGTTTTAAGATAAGGAAGAAAAGTGAGTAAAATATTAAACCAGCAAAGAGCTTATCTGTGGTTTTCAGCATGGACACATGCAGTGCTGGAATGGAAAGTGTGTGAGCAACACAACATGTGAGATCATGGAAGAAAGACACCAACTGGAATATCCCAACAAAGAAATCAAGAGAGTCAACTGTAAATGGGACTGCATAGTTTTCTAGATTAAGCACAGAGGGGCACAAACAGCCTCCAGTGCCTGCAGAGTTTAAGGATAAAAACAAATTTGTCCCTGGAGGAAATAAAGAACTTGTTATGAGCAGAAACATATTTAGATGATCCTCAGTCTGAAACAACACATGTGGGAATCCAGTTTGTATTAGCATGAAGCAAAACAGCGAGACAAGAATTACTAAAGGGATAGTCTGCTCAAAAATGATAATTCTAGACTCACATTCATGTCATTCCAAACCTGAATGGCTTTCTAGTTTCGGTGGTACAAATATATTTCCAAGAACTACTTTCCACAGAACGAAAGTCAGTGGGGTGCAAAACAACATTGGATCCCAATGACTTTGTATTGGCAAAAAAAACTCAATCAGTTTTGGAAAGACATGGAGGTGGGTAAATAATGACAGAAGTTTTCTTATACCTTTTAACATCATGCTTTCGTATTATGGATTTAATATCAGCTTCATAAGGGAGTTTCAAAACACCACTATATAAAAATGACATTCAATGGAAAACCCTCAAAATTTGAACACGGAGTTACAAACCAAGAACAAAACAGAAAAACAATGTACCATTCAATGCAAGTTGCCATATTTTTAATCATAAAAAAAGAAGTGACAACGTGTTTTTACACCAGCAAAAAAGTGCCACCATTATGAGCAAGGGTTTAAGTCCCTTACAACGATCTAGCCCCTAAAAAGCTTCTGGACTAGACTTGACCATCAACTGAGACTTGTGTTTGAACAGTGCTGCGATAGACGTGTGTCTTTTAACGTTCACCTTTGTGGTGGCAGATCTTACGGTCAGTTTTTCTGGCGAAGCTGGACAACCGCTGATGCGTTTCTGTGGGGCGCCCAGAATCTCTAAGATGTCCCGGTGTTCGTCTTTGCTCAAGTACTGCCACGGTCTCTTCCCGCTGCTGTCCCGTATCCGCACATCAGCTTTGAACTTTTGTACCAGGAGCCGAATGAGTTTCCTGTGGCCGTGAATGGCCGCCAGGTGTAGCGGCGTGTAGCCGCACAAAGTTTTCACGTTGACGTCCAAAGTCATCCCGAGTTTTTCGACTCCGTACCACAGCGTGTTCAGGACGCGATGGTCGCCATGCTTTACAATCCAGTGGACGACGGTGAAGCCGGATAAGAAATCTCGTTTGCTCAGGAGATTCGGGTCCTCTCGTAAGAGAGCGTAGATCTCGGTCCACGAGCCAGATGCTGCTTTGACAAACCAGTTGTGCTCTCTCGAGTCAAGAGGGACGGGTGAATGCTTGCTGTTGAACGACCCATCGTGCAAACTTTGTGTGGATCCGGCGGGCGATGAGATGGAACTGTGTCCTCGGCTGGAGGACGCGCTGACTAAATTACCCATGCTTAGAGTCGAGGACAACAGCTGGAGACGGTTGTGTCGTGATGAGATGATGTCCTCTGGGAACGACTGATCCAGGTCTTCTCCAAGACTACGACACATGCGACTCCGCAGACGGGACGTCAAACGCCGGGCGATTGGTCCATAGCGGGTTTCCGGCGAATTGCTTCGTGTTGATGCCCTGGAGTCGTCGTCATCGAGGTGACCAGTCGAGTGGTGCATGGACGAGATGTTTCGACTCGGTTCGTGGAGTTGGGATAGCATCCTTGCCTCCTGTGTGCGACGCAGGAAAGCGCGTACGTCGTTCCCGTCTTGTCCTCCAAGTCCCTGATCGCTGGACTGCTCCTCATGCCTTAAATCTTGAGGCCAGCCAGTATCAGGTGGAGTAGAAGAAGGAGAGGGGATTGAGATGCTATCCCGACTAGAGTATAGACTTGAAGGCTCATGGAGCTGCAGATACATTGCACTTGCATGGACAGGAGGACCGTCCTCAGGCAATCCGTGCATCTGAAGCTCATACTCGTCTTGCTCTTGGATCGGAAACCCATTAAACCCTCCATTCGGTCGTAGAAGACTATCATTGCTTCGGCTCAGGCCTGCATGAGTGTACGCCTGGGAGTGTATGTGTGGAGAAACAGGGCGGTCCAGTAGACAAGGAGATGAGTTGTATACATGAGACTGCCCGAGGGTTGAGTGTAAAGGCCATGCTTTGGCGACAGGGTCATTTGAGTGTTTGGGATGAAGCTCAAACGTGTTTGCATCCAAACTTTTCCTTTCAACCGCAGGCGTCATTCTAACCTCATAGTAAGCAGGGGCGGTGAAGGGCTGGTCACAACCATCTGCTTCCCCTAATTGTCTCAGTTTGGCGTTGTAAACACTGTTGTGTTCCAGCTCTGTTGCCTCCCTGGTTGCTTTTGACTCCCATGGCTGTTCAAAGCTCTGGCCGCTCCCACTCGAGCGACTGTCAGTGTCAGATGGGGTTGGTTTTAAATGGCAGGTGTTGTTCACCTTTTCTGCAGAGGAAGTATAAACAGCAGGTGGTTCCCTCCCATATGGTGATGAAGTTTTGACTGCTTTCCCAAAAGTTGGAGTAGATTGCTTGTTATTGTTGTTGTTGCTGCTGGTGGTGGGGGTGATAATACCAGCAGCTGGCAAGATTTCAGCACGAGTTGGGATGGTCAGAACAGCTTGTGGTTGTGGTTTACCGCTCGCCGCTGGTGTAGAGTCTCGTTCTTTCTGTCGCTCTGGCTCGTGGATCGTGGCGATGTCTCCGAGATGCACACGGTATTTTTTCCTGAGTACAACATGAGACACCCCCTCCTCCTGCCTCACAGTCGCCACGGAGTTCACATACCTCTTAAATAACTCCCGGTTTTGCTCTCTGTCCTCGTCCTCTCTCAAAAACCGCTTGTAATGATGTAATAAATCCGCGTTTCGCACCTTCCCTCCGTTATTGACGACGAAGCGCAACACGGATTCCTGAGTAAAATCTGTGGCCATGCTGTGTGTGTGAGTCCTCTCGGGTTATCGCACAATCAAACTGAAGGAAAGGGAGGTAAAGGACCTGCCAGGCGGTTTCGCTGTTGAGATTGTAACTCCGCCCACGGGTTTCTCTCTCAGTTCCACCTGCATACCTGCGAGCTGAGATATATGTGCACCTCACACATCTATCTATCTATCTATCTATCTATCTATTCTTTGAAGTGTAGTGATGAATAATTAGCCTACAATATTAAGTTTTTACTTTTAAAGTAGGCTACAAATGCTAAAATATGCTATAAATATGAATTTTAAGAGCTTCATCAAATATTTTATACGTATAAATACGTTTGATGGCCGAAGTAGACTTTTTTTTAACTTATGACACAAACTTCTACATGAAGTACTGTATTTCGACACTTGAGTGTAGTGAAAATAGGGGAGAATCTCAATGACAAAAAGACTCCCAATCAACCTGAATTCACCCCTTTATGAATTTCATTACTTTAACAAATTATCAAATGAAAGTAGCATTTAGTAAGCAAAAATAAAACGTTGTTTTTTAAAAATAATAATAATAATTTCACAAGTACACATTTCAGGGAAAACTTTTCGCTCAATAAAATGGTTGTTGTTGTTTTTTTTAACTGCTGAAATATAAAATGAAAACAAAAGGTGGTTCAACATAAAAACACGTTCATAATATATGCAATGAACCTGTGGTTCCTCTTCTAGGACACCTGTGTGAACTTGAGAACTGACTCCATCCACTAAAACATTCATGAACTAAAAATCAAAACAAATGAAGGTAATTATGGTAAAAGATCCTGCAGCATCCTCTTTTCATTGTATGAGATAAGCATGTCACTTCTTATGCAACATGCCACAACTCCATCCTGCCAATTCATTGGCTTCTGCTTGAATTTATTAGATACAAATATAAGTTCTAGTAATTTAACACATTACTATTTGAATAAATAGCTAATAATTTCTAATTCCACTTACTTGGCTTTAGATACTGAATACACATTATATTCAGCAACTCATCCATCATCCATTAAAGCTCATAAATCGCATACAGAACACAAAGCATGAGCTGTGTATCACAATGATGACCTCGCAGGATCTCCCTTTTGTTAATGAGTGCAATGAGTTCACCAGTAAAAATATCAGATTTCATTGTAAGACACACACACACACAGAGAGAGAAAAAAGTGACAGAGACATCAGCAGTTCCGTACGTTTTCATTTATTTGAGCTTTGGGAGGTTTCTCAGCAGCGTCCCGGACTGTCCTCAGCACCTCAGAGCACGAGAGAAGGCTTTCGGCAGGAATCGCACATGGAGGATATTATGATCAGCAAAGGAATGGTGAAGGTCTTAAGCTTTTTATGTTAGTTCAGAATCTTATGCATTTTACTCTACTCGATATAACAGTTATATTACTAGGTTTAGAACAAGCGACAAACAGTTCAACTAACCAAGTCACGCAACGTGTGATCTAACGCCACGGATAACACCAGCTCATCGTTAATGCTCAGTTTAAGGAAGTGATAGGGACATTATCACCCTTCAAATACTCACACACACACACACACACACACTCAGTGATCTCACACACATCACAACGAGCATTAGACCCAGCTGTGAACGAGTGTACATTTGTACAAAACTAATATACATGTTCAAAAGAGCACTCAGAAATGTTGAGGGCTGTGTTTGACAAATAAAAAGAGAGAAAAGGACAGTGAGAGGTACAGATGAAATAAATGGCAGGAAATACACATAAAAAGAGACAAACAGGAACTATACCAGTTTCCACAGATAGAGGAAAAAATATCCCTACTTTAATTTTTTTGCAAACATTTTTCCTTTATATATAGATTTTTTTTTCTGCTTTTTCAAAGCCTTTTATGTGTACGCTCAGTGAACGGTTATGAAATGCCATCATGCACAGAATGTTTTTTTTTTTTGTTAGTATTTTTGGCCTCTCTCTTGCTCTGAGGTGAACTGATGAACACGGTTGCTGTGGTTGTGTGATTTTTTTTCCTTCTAGGTTTCTCTGGCCGGTTGGAGAGGCGGGCAGGGGGAGGAACCAGCGTTCTGCTTCCCTCCTCCCACTGTTAGGCCCGTACACATGAGCGCCCCCTCCTGGGGACTCTCCTCGTTGTACAGGCGCTTGATCCCATCGAAATACTCGTCCACCTCCATGTGTTCCACTTTCCGCTTGGCCGAGGACTTGCTTGAACGGTTGTGCGTGGCGTTGGGGTCAGAGGGTGCTGTCGGAGCGGGGGACACTTGCCAGGCGGGCAGGAGTCCCCTGTCCCGAGGCCCCGGGGCGTTCAGCAGGGGATGGCAGATGTACACAGTGTTAGGAGGCAGGGAAGCCGTGTGTGTGGACAGGCAACGTGCAACCAGCTCTCGACAGCCAATCAGCTGAGAACTGTCGATCTGAAAGAGAGGAAGTGGAAAAAAACATAAAAGTTCTAAGAAAAGTGTGGTTGCACATATAATATCAGATATCCATTATTGTTTGTGAGTCTTTTATTCAGCAAGGACAATCTAATTTGATCAAAAGTGACAGTTATAATGTTACAAAAGGTGTCCATCTCAAATAAATGCTCCTTTTTTACTTTCTATTCATCAAAACAACTGTTTGTTGGTTATTGTTTGATGATAATAATCAGAAATGTTTCTTGAGCAGCAAATCCACATATTAGAATGATTTCGAAAGGATCATGTGACACTGAAGACTGGAGTTGTAAATTCAGCTTTGATCACAGGAATAAATTACATTTTAAACATATGCAAATAGAAAAAAAAGTGCTTTAAAATGCAAAAAATATTTCACAATATTACTTATTTTTGATCAAATCAAATAAATGCAGGTTTGGTGAGCAGAAGACACTTTTAATTTTTTTTTAAAAAAATTTATCTGACCAAACCCAAACTTTTTGAATGATGGTGTATCAATGTTCAATACATACACAGTCATTAATATTTTAAAACTGCTTCATTGGTGTTGACAGTATTACTGAACTTGTACAAACTCATGAAGAAATATAAAGCTGTTTCTTTTTTGTTTGGCGTTGAGCTCGCTGCTGGCAGAGATAGCGGAGTCTGTTTGGAGAAGTAAATGACCGGGCCTCTTCGGAGTTATGATAAGGGTGAGAGAGTCAACAGAAACCCAAACGTGTGAGATGGATTATGTACGCTAGTACTGCTCTAACGTGTAGCCGGTCCAGATGACTTCACACGAACATCATCACAGATGAAAATAACTGCATCAATTTTTTTTATATTTAAAATAAAATGTTATGTGACCAATGTGATCTTTCTGACCACTTTTTGTATTTGTTTAATGGAAATGTTTGGATCTGGCCTCCCTCTAAAATCTAGTAAATCTACATTATTTCATTTTACAAACAATGTTCAATACCCATTTACACTTTTAACCCTATAAATACTACTTATAAAATTTGCACAGCCTCTAAATGATTAACATGATCAAATGTCATCTGATGGACACAGTCTATCATTTTAGCATAACTGTAAAAACGTCTAGCTTCAGGTCTTTTTGTGGTGAAATCTTTAATGAGTTTCATGAAGTAAACAATAACTTCCATATTGTCTGTAATATTTCAACAAAATTGCAACTTGCTTATCCATGCATCCAGAAAAATCATGTTAAAATGAATCAAATATGATCCATCAGACTTTTGAGAAACAACTTTTGTTCATCTTTCAAACATCATTGCATTGCATTATATATTTTGACCCCCACAAACTCTAAATTTATATTTACTCTATATAAATATAATATCTCTATCTAACATAAACTCTGTATATATATATATATTTTCCCAGATTCACATGGAAATCATCTTGTTGGACTGTATATGTTTCAGTAACGTTAGACATCCTGGAAGAGTTTAGTTTAAATGAATCATACATAATAATGTATTCAAACACAATTTGGAGCCGCTGAACTTCATCGGTTCTTACCTGTAATTTGTGCAGCAGGTCGACAGTGAGAGCGAGCCAATCAGGACAGAGTTTCTCCAGCTCCAGCGTGATGAGGCCGAGGGACAGCAAAGAGCCGCGCACCTGCAGCAGTGCATTGTGGGTCAGACAGTGGAAGAGCTGCTGGGTGAGCAGAGCCACATGCTGTGAAGGGTTCAGACCCGACAACGCCACGTTCAGCCGCCCGGACCTACAGCTCAGAACCATCGCATGGAACTACATGGAGAGAAAGGGTAGATCAAAATGATTCAAAATCAAGATTTGTTTGGATCTCAGCACTGAATCAGATTAATGGACCCACATGGAGAGCTGGATGTTAACAGAAACCTCAATGTGCCGAGAAAGAGGATTCTTCCTGAATCTCTCACTACTAGCAGCAATATCCATCTAATTTTCTACTTTTGTTGGCTGACTTTGGGGGCGTTTACACAACACTGTGTTTTCAGATTATCTGCTTCTTCAGCAAAGTAAACTGGAGTTTAGCAATCTTCATTTGAGATTTTCTACCGAAATAAAGTGGCATTCAGTCTGTGTTCTGTTCAGTTTGTGTGACTAAATCTGCAATTAAAATGCAGGCTGACATCCAGCAGTGTTTTCAATGTTGATCATATTATACTAGCAAGAATGCAATGTTTCCCCGAATACCACACCATTTTAAATGTGACATTGATTTTATACAACAGTTTTGGAGGAGTTTTTACCGCACTCACGTTAAACAAGGTGCCAGACAGACAAGACTAGAAAACTCTAAACTGTTAAATAAATAAACTGTCTGCACACTTGAATCCTTAAAGCAAATTTAATAGGCAAGCTTTCGGTCAAATACCATCCTCAGGCCATGATGATGCCTGAGATATGGATTCAAGTGTGCAGACAGTTTAATTATTTATTTATTATTTTTATACAACAGTAAAAAAAAAGAGGTTACATTAAGAACTCTGAACGAATCGTGAGATTCAATGGTCTGTTCGTAAATACAGCCACTTGCTTCGTTACTGAATGAATGACTCGATTACTCATTCATAAGACAGTAAGTTGCCGCCACCTACTGGCAATTTTAATATATTTTTCTTAATGTTAAACGTTTTTTTAACATCATTGCATATTTATTGAACAGTGTTTTCTTTCAAGTATTATATTTTTTTTAAAGGCATTTATAAAGGTAAAAAAATTATGTAAAAATCAATTAAAGGGGACAACAAATATTGTCAATTAATGGAAAAGATGTGACTGCAGTCAAAGTGGAAGAGAGGGGACAAAATGATGTTAAATGCTTCAGGGGGTACGGCACTCTAAACTAAAACTACGAAAGACAAAATTACTAAAATGTGACAAACCAATCAGCATTTTCTTCTGAAGATGAAGAAAAAATGGCTGCCAAAATCAACACTGGTGGTATCTTGCCCTGTGTGTGTGTGTGTGTGAGAGAGAGAGAGAGAAGTGCACTCACGATGTAAAGGAAGTCCAGTGGGGTGGTGGAGTGCAGGTCCCAGTTTAGCTTATCCAGAACAATCCTCTCCATCCGCAAGATCTCCGACGGAGAACAGCCACATTTGCTGCTGGACGCCAGATCTCTCAGTGTAGGGATCCTCTGCAAAAACACACAATAAACGGTTACACACATAGACGTCCACAAAAACACACAGAACTATTCAAACACAAACATACTGGTTGAAACAGAAAACGGCTTGAAATCTGACAGTAATGTCCTAACTTTGAACTAATTTTGGTAATTGCTTCCAAGTTTAAGCCACATCACAAGGTCAGTTATAGCCAGAAATGACTTTAAAGGGCTGCCAGAAAATAATCAGATTAAATATTAGCCCATCTTTGGTGTTTTAAATGGAAACAACTACAGAAATCTCAGTGGTTATATTCCTACAGATAATGTCTCACTGTCTGGCCTTTCACGAAGCAGCTGATGGGAATGTTTTGTCATCCTTCAGTACAGTAAAGAACACTTTTTACTAAAAGGTCATCAAACTGGGGCTGATTTTAGACTTTATCTGCCTCCCTCGTGACATCAGAGATGTTCCACCCAGGGTCACAGTTTTAACTGCTACACAAACAGATAAAGCAACACAGAGCTCTAGTGCCTCTGATCGTAGATTGACAAATTAATATTTCATTCACCTCATCTTCCTCACTGGTCTTAACAGCCAGGAAGAAACAAGAGATGGCGATACAGCGCAGGTACTTAGGACGGGCCTGAAAGAGAGAGAGAGATTGATCAATGACGTTACAGCAATAATGCATCTCTTGCACTGCTTATTGTGTATGCAGAGTTTGTCACAACAGTAAGTAGAGGTAATAATGTGCTTTTTTTTAATGCCATGTCAGCATCAGAAAATGAGTTACAGAAAATACAAGACTTGCTTAAATGCAATTAAAAGAAAAAAACAGCAGGGAATATAAAACAATATGTTTTAATAAAGATATGATAATAATCCTAAAATCTTTTCTGGTAAAATTTTACTAAACAAGGTTTTAAGTGAGCTTACCAAATAAAAATGTTGTCTACTTGCATTAAGTGGGTAAGTCCAATAAAATATGTTTAATGGAAAAAGGATCTTGAAAATGTAAGTGAATCTTGTGTGTCCTATGCGACATATCGTGTGAACGTCAATTGATCCAATCTCGTTTTAAAGGAGATTAAAAGTTTGTTGGGGATTTCAAGACTGATGTAATGTCTGTATACATGTCCCACTCCTTTTGCCACATGTTTAACATATAATGATTTGTCACAAACAGGTAAGGACAAATGTTTCTTACACACATATGAACTTCCTGTGTTTATTTCCTGTTCACTTGAACTAATCAGATCTGCAGAGTGCCATGTAGCTGCATCTAAAAATACAGCGCAGGCAGTTTCACTTTCTCTCTCTCTCAAAAAAAAAAAAAAACATCTAGAAATGTCTCTGCAGCCCTTGAATGTTCAGGACCGTTTTCTGATGTTCTAAAAGAAATTGGCACAAAGACAAGAGAGCAAAATATATTCAGTGTTGTATAATAAAACCACTAAGCTAAATAGTTACCTAACTTTTATCTGTTAAGCTATTGCATAACGGTGAAAGTTTTATAACGGAGTAAAATAATGTCCATGGCACACAAGTTAACATATAATCAGAAATGCAAGTTTCCTAATCAAACTTTAAATCCATACATTATAATGCATAACATGCACAAATTTAAATGCATACATTATAACGCATGACTTTTATGCATTATAATTCATGCATATATGCGTGCATACATTTAAATGCACCTGAGAAATTTAGCTTTAATCCTAAGCACCTTACAAATGTGGAATATCACATGAAATTTATCATAAGAGCTGCAATATTTGCCTCACACAATGCTAAAAATAAGCTAAATTAATACACAAGCTTTATCAGAATTGAAACAAAGAAAAGAGAAAGTGAGAATATTATTATAATTGCTTTTTAAAAATAGAGTGTCATTAAGTGAAGTACAGTACCTATCATGGGCTGCAATTAGACCAGCCAACACACAGCTAAAACCTGTTATGGACAGCTGTGTCGCGGAAAATACCATAAAACCATAATCATTGACTGGGACAGAAGACCTTGACCGGTCCGATGTTCTTAAACATTACCTTAATGGCAGAGAGGAAGCGATCCAGGATGCCGATGGCCAGGCAGAGGGTCTCTGGATAAAGCTTCAGCTGGGAATGCACATCCCTCAACCAGCGGACGGCCTCATCACGCTTTTCAGGGGAAATATCTGTATCCTAAACAATAAAACATTCAATCAAACACAAAACAACCCATACTTACTCAAATCCAAATCAAAGCCCTTTTTTTACTGTCGATCCGAGTAGACTTAAATGCACAGATACTTATCTGTAATAGAAATGCATTTTTTTTTTCATTACTACTTCAAACTAAATGTAAACTCATATTTTATGCACAATAAAACTGCCACAGTTCCCATCAGGATCAGTTTAAGTAGCAAACCTCAGACAGTGTCACATTTGCGCATGTAACGGACACAAACGCACCCTATAGTCACAACAGACATCAGTATCTGGAGATAACACAGCCTCATAAAACTGCATCCCAGTGTCTCTGTGTGTGTGTGTGTGTGTGTGTCTACTACTAGTGCAGTATCATAAGGGATCTTCTGAAATCCTGGCTTCCAAATTACAGTAATAATTATTACGACAATATTACTATTCACATTATACCTGCACCGAAACTACCTTAAATGATTTGCCTCCCACTACATAAACAGTTTTGTCATACCAAACAAACCAGAGATATCAGCTGACAGACTCACCTGGTTGGTAGGTTTCTTTGGCACGTAACCCTTCCATAGTTTGGCTTCCCTAGAAACTGCCTTCTCTAGAAGAGATGACAGCTTCCGGCTTTCCAAGGGCTGGGTGAACTTCATCACACACCCTGGAAAAGCCTACCTCCCCACTGGATACAGCTACCTGAGCGCAGAACACAAAACAGATTAAATATCATCGCTCAGATATTACAAGGGATTTCTGGATTGCCTTGGAAATGGATTTATTTTTTATTAAAGTCAATTAATCACATTTAAAAACAAAGTCTAGAATAAATCAATATTTATTATTAGTATTTTATCCAAAATGCTTATAATTACATGTTGATAACATTCATTACATATTGATATTATTTTTATTCCTGTTGTTTCAGTTAATGATTGTTATGAATAAAATAAAAGCGCTTTAAAAACATTAACAATGAGTGTTCAGAAAGAAATCAAGAAAGAAAAAAAACATTTATGATAAATCAGATCTGAACTAAATGATGATATTGGGTTCAATAGGCATTTAAATTGAGGACAAATGAGAATTTAGCATCATATTCATACTATGAATGTAATACTGGTGTATATAAGTACAACATCCGTACTGTTTAGTGTTAAATATTACTTTAAACACGACAAAACCCCATATCACCAGCTCAGTATAAAATGTTAATAGTGTTGACGCAGTTTACATGAACGTTAGATGTGTGTTAGCTGACAAGCTACACAGTAATAGATCAGTATACATACAACCACACACACATAACTACACAAAAAATCCCAATTTAGTATTTTAAAGGTTTATTTATATCTATTCATTCTGATTTAAACAAGCAAATGGCGATATGGGTTTATAAAAACTCGTAGAAACGGTTAAGATTTTTTACCTCCCCTGCAAGGTTGTGGGAAACGCAGATCATCCGGTCCATTAAATTGAGGTAAAATAAAGGAGCAAATCGGAATCAGTCATTTTTCTAAGCGTCCAGTTTCGCCTCCATGCTTGCCGTGAAATTTGTTTGGGGTTTTAAAAATCTAAAAGGGATATTTCCAAACTGATATGAAAAATAAAATGAACGGAATATAGACACGGACGTCTACTTCCGAGGAGGAGACTGAGAAGGGAACGAAAACCTTCCGCTAACCACTTCACCGCGCACAGAAACATCCACCGAAACATTTCCTTATTAATAAAAGAATATTAAGATTAATTCTAAACGATTAGTAATACAAAAAACAGGCAAGTCAATGTAGATTTAGTCAGATGTTTATTTTTCAATGGAAATTACTGTGAGTGAATTCGGTGATTGTGTCATAAAAGGACTACTTTCTCTGGCGGATTTGAGTGTAGAGTGTACTGTAAGGGACTACTTTCATATACGATCCATTCCATGTCTCAAGATCACACAGAAAACAACGCAAAACGAGACTGTAAAAGGGACAAAATGTCAATTAATAAATTACAATATTTTAACATCTAGATCTTATTCCATCACGGACATTAAGCTTTAAGGGAGGTTTAAACAAATAAATATATAAATAATATCATAATAATTGTATTATATTATTAATATTATAGTAGTAATGTTATAGTACCATAAAAATAATTCAGAACTAAAATACATATTATTTTTCTTATTAAATTCGATGTGTCTAAAGGAATATTTTCATATTTCATGCGTCAACTGAATCAGAATTCACAACATTTGGCATGTGCTATAACATTCAGCTAAAATGAAGATAACTCACTATTCGTTTAATGAATGTTGAAAAGAAAGGGAACATTTTAATTGAAAGACACAGAAACTGAATGAACAAAACATCACAAAAATGAACATAATGCATTTGTACTACATGTTCTAACCCCTGGCAACCCTGTCAAAACAAACCCATCAACAACCATTCAAAGTGCAGGACAAGCTGTCGAGTCTAACCAATGGTCGGCGTCTACATGGAACCCAGCAGCCAATGAGCGCCGAGAATTTTGGGCGGTCTATTTGAACGCTACATCTTCCGGCGATCCTATTGGTCGGTTTGACTGTCAGTATCCCAAGACGCAGAGAGCTTTAAAACTACGCTTGTATTTTTCACAACAGGAAATATTCAAAACAGACGAGTCATAAAGATAAAATAACACAAAATATAGTTAATTAAGTGTAGGGATGACAAAAGCATTCGTTATAAACAGCAAAAATGTATCTAAACAGAGAGACTTACGTACCATACGTGCCAGGCCCAGAGGGGCGGAGCAACATTCAACATCAACAAAAGGAAAGAGAAGCAGAAAACAGACGAAGGACTCGGATACACAAACACAATATGTCCTTTTAACATCTCTGGTAATTTACCTTTATTCATCTTCAATTGTCGTTAACATCTGTTTCATTTTTAGATGCACGTCAAGATTAACTGTCTAAATGTTCTAACGTTGTTTTTTTATTATTATGAAAATGGGTTTCATCTTTGGTTGTCCTGGCTTTTAAATGGGCTTACATTAAATTTCGAATGGGAGTCAATTGTATATTTCTTCTAGATTTGAATGGTATTTTATCGATCATTTGTGTATTTCATTAATGAAACCTACGGATTGTTTTACTGGAATGACCGAATCGCTTGTTTTTTTGGTCGTCTTTGATGTTTACTTTCTAATGCAGTACGTTACATGTACTATGTAGAATTTGAAGTCAATTTCTGTATATTTCCGAGTCGAATAGATTGATCCGTAAAATGTTACAGGTCCGATTTGTTATATTATAATACACAGATAAACCGTATAAAATGTAAGATTAAAAGCAAACACTGTACAGCAGTGTAAAGATTGGTCCCCTCCCCCCCTCTGGTCTAGGTATTTTCCATTTGAAGGATCAACTGAGCTCAACTGGATTACATTGACTTTCGATGCTGTTCTAACATTAATAATCAAGATAATGTTTTTAAAAAGGACGTTTACACATTTATGTGCATATCTCAGACAGAATACGTCGGATGTATTTGTTTGTATGTCCTGTAAGAAGGCGTTAACCAGCGAAACCTGATACCGAAGCTCAGCTGCGCGGAGAGGGCTGGCAGTGGGCAAAACCTTGACCTACCGCCCCTGGGTGAACTGAATTTACTGACTTTGTTTTCGTTTTTAAGGTGCTTTGGAGACTTGAAACCCGGTTAAAGTGAAAATATGGAGGCCTTCAAACTGATGAAGGAGCTGAAGAGCAATTTGGAGCTGGAGGTTCATTACCTGCCTAAAGAAACTGGTCTCGGTTTGATCGAAGCCAGCCAAGAGGTAAACTAGTTTTACCAACTCCTGTGGAAATACATAAAAAACCTTTATTCCTTTAAGAGTTTTAATCTTTTTTTTTTTTTTACATAAAATTCAAATAGTTCACACAAAAATAAAAATTGTCATCTACTCACCCTCAAGTTGTTCCAATCTACACGTATTCTTCAAAATATCTTCTGTGTTCAGCAGAAGAAAGAAATTCATACAGGTTTGGAACGTTTTGAGGGTGAGTAAAGGATCAGAAAATCAGATTTAACTTGAAATTTAACTTAATTCTCCTTGTCCACTCAGAACGGTAATGGCGTTTCAGCCAAATGTCGAGATGCCCGAGTTGAAGATCTCTGGAGTCTGACCAGTTTCTTCGGTTACAGCACTCAGACCTTTGTACTAGCCGTTAACCTGCTGGACAGGTTTCTAGCAATGATGAAGGTAACCAGTTAATTATAATTGATTCCAACTAATTATCATGATGTCTTCACTGGTATAACATATCGGTTCTGTGTTTTGCGTAAAGGTCCAGTCCAAGTATTTGGCCTGCATCAGCATTGGCTGCCTCCACATCGCTGTCCGAGCGACTGAAGAAGAATGCAATGTTTCGTCCAGTCACGAGCTCATTCGCATCAGCCAGAGCAAGTTTACCGTCTCCGACCTCAGCCGAATGGAGAAGATCATTTCGGAGAAACTCAACTTCCAGTTCAAAGCCGTCACAGCCTTAACCTTTCTGCATTTGTACCACGCCATTGCACTTTCGCACACATCCAACAGGTAAGAATGCGTGGTGGCATTATCAAGCTTCAAACTCAAAGCCAGATAAACTTTTTAAATGTGCAGGATTTGACAAAGGAAACAGACTCAGGAAGGTTGATAAACAGAGCTGGCAAGTGCACTTTGAGCATTTTGCAGTAAATGGGTCACGGTGAATCCAGTCAGCCATTAAAAACTAGGATAATCTTCTGACTAGACTGCACTGCAACAGCTTGTTAAATGGCAAACAGCTCAACTAACAGTACCTAAATGGAAGCTCACATTTAATGCACTTTGTCCATCAACTATTTCTTGCTTTCAGAAAAAACATCCTGAATCTTGAAAAACTAGAAGCCCAGCTGAAAGCTTGCCTATGCAGAATTGTTTTCTCCAAAGCAAAAGTAAGAACTACTTCAAAACAAATAGACAGATGCTAGAAGTGAATTATAGGAAGATTGAATTGATGAAATTTCTTCTCTTTTTTTTCAGCCTTCGGTGCTTGCCTTGTCGCTCTTGATGCTTGAGATCGAGGCCTTACAGTCTGCCGATCTGCTCGAGATCGCCCACCGCGTACAGACACACTTGAAGGTAAATATTCAAGAGGTCAGCCTTTTTAAATGCCCTGAGCATCACAATAAAACCTTTCAAAAAGTAAAGAAGTAAAAAGACTGGTCAAGCAGAACTAGTTTAATCGAACAATATTGTACCACCATTGTGAACACAAAAATCCATTACAATTGACTGATCAAAAATAATCCCTTAGTTTCAGCTGCACGTACATCCACAGTGTAGGAAAAAATCCAAAGCACTTAAAAGTGTCCCGTCGCCAGCAGACTCTAAGTTTACACTTGTCGGTCCCTTCTAATATGATATTACGCTGGCTCTGTGCCCTGACCTTATGTAAGCTGGTGTCTAATAGAGCAGTGTCTGTTGCCCTACTCAGATCTCGAAGGCTGACCTGGCACACTGGCGTGGCCTTGTAGACCAGTGTATCAGGGAATACTCCTCTCCAGAATGTGCCAAACCTGACCACAAGAAACTGGTGTGGATCGTCTCGCGGAGGACAGCGCAGAACTTGCACAGCAGCTACCGCAGCATCCCAGAGCTACCCACAATTCCAGAGGGTGCGTGGGACGAGAGCGAAAGGTAAACAGCTTACCTGCGGAAAGACACAGGCATTAGTATGTCACCCTCTATATATCAGGAAGTAGAAACAGAAAGTAATAGGAATATTCAGGTTTAAACGCATACTGATTGTTGTTTACCAAAGAAAATAATTTAGATGACATTCAGTTTGCAAAACAAACAAAAAAAGACAATTTTGTTCACAATGGATGTGTCTGGGGCAAATCTACAAATCAAAATTATCTTCTGTGGCATCATTAACTAAAGCCAAAACTATTTTAATTTGGTAACTGCAATACAATATAACTTAAATAGTAGATATGAATATTAGAAAAAAAGTGAAATAAAACGAGCCTTAACATGACTGATAAAATAAAAACGACAAACACATAAAATTACTAAAACTAGTAAAATCACAGCAAAAATAATATAGTATATAAATAATGCTAAAATAACACTGGAACATACTATCAGTCTGTCACATTATATCCCACATTACATTACTACAGATTACAACTTGCATCTAAAACATCAGGAAATAAACAAACTTGGGAATAATTTATGTAGAGTACGCAATTTTCCATCACAACTTCTGGTTTCAGTTCCATCAGTTTTTCCCCCCCATCACATGACATATGACTTAATCTTGGTGTTTTACTGACACACACCACTTACGTCACAACCCCGTTAGCACAGGCTGAAGCTCTTTCTGTACGCCTCGCCCAACGTCTTACTATCAGGTGTCTTAACCGTGTTACTTGATAACTAATAATGGTAAGTCACAGCCCAGAAACCAACCCAAGCATGTTTATTCTCCAAGAGCAAATAAGTCATACGTGAAGCTCAGTGACACAGCTGATTACAGGCTGAAAATCTAGACAGGACGCACTGCTTTGACATGGCTAATGGGTTAGATATGCATACACGTCAAACTAGGTGCAGTGATGGAATGTGGGTTGAGTGTCTGTCTACAAACATGTCACGGGTTGTAAAGCATCACATGCGAGTAAGAGATGGGTGTGCGAGGTGTGTCAAATTAGATGGAAACAAAACGTTTCTCGAGAACTAAGCATATTTGTACAATCAAGAGTACATTCTGGGTTAAGCTTGATTGAAACCATCCGCATATTAGTGAAAAACTTGTATGAAAATGAGAAATGTTGCCTTTGTGACTAACTGAAGTACTAAAATTGAAATAACAGAAATATATATATATATTATAGAAATAAATAAAATAAAAATGATTCACGGTAACGGTCACACTTTCACGATTTCCAAATGCATTTTAGTGTCTTGATGTTAAATCGTTCAAGCCATTTGACTTCATGAATATAATAATGACCAAATAATATAATAATTGAATCAGAAATAAATATATCAACACCATCCAATAAGAAACACCTGAACGTCACATAAATATTCCAGAGAATTAACAACCTCAGCTTCCTTTTTTAAAGAAAAAAAAAAAGACTGATTGTATCTGACTGTTTGTTCCTCTTCCAACAGTGAGGATTCAAGCGAAGACCTGAGCTCTGGGGAGGAGAGTCTGAGCAGCTCGCTGGGCAGCGACGCAGAAGGACTCTACTTCCCCTCAAACTTCCGGTCCCGTACCTGTAGACCGTAGTACGCTCTAAACCACTTGCCAAGGAGCGCAATCACCAATGGAGATGTGTCCACCACAACGCCAAATAATGATCTGAATGGCTTCCTTGTCACAGACCTCTCCTGGCTGGAAACCTAGCGAGGTGCCATTGTGCCTGGGTTCAATGAAACCAACGAGTCCAAAATATCAGAATTGTATTTTAAAACTCTTCTTTTATGGCTTTACAAAGAGCCAGTCCACATACTGTAAACTTCTCTCTTGATTACTTGTGTTTAGCTAAAGTGAAATAATTCAGCACTGCACAACACTGGCAGCTAAAAAAAAAAAAAAAAAAATTAGTCATAGCGTTTATAGTAGTTTGTGCATGTTTGGATTTGTCAACATTCCAGCTGGCTCAATACAACATATCCAAGGTACTCTAGACTGTTATAGAACAACTTAGGACTTGTACTTTGGTGCTTTGCACAGTTTTGTAATATGATTGTAAGCGTGTGACAGCAGGAAAGCTGCGTGCCTGCGGAACTGCCGCCTCTCTGAGGTCATAGAGCCAGAGATTTAAAGTGGTGTGCATGACGTTCACAGAGAGAGGGGGGAAAAAAGCAGATTGTTTATTTTTTGGTGTGTATGTTTGAGTGTGTTGTTAACCTACTTGCCAACTTAGTATAAGTTTCACTTTAGCCGATGTATGAAGACATACTGTGTTGAAAATGAAAACAAAAAAAGCCTTAAAAAAGGTCAATATAAAAAAAAAAAATGTAAATTTGTGTAAATGTAAAAAAAAAAAAAACATATACTTTCTGTATAGCTTCTTGTAGATATTAACTTATTTATTGTTATTTTTGTCATGGTAATATAAAAAAAACATTTACAATAAAAAAAGCTATTTTGAAATTCACTGAATGTCTCCTGTTTTGCTTAGTTGGGTTTCATGAATATCAGTTTAACCTCTAGTTGGTTCTCTGTTCCCGACGACCTCAGCTAATACAACACACAGAAAATGGCAAACAGCCAGCAGATGCTGCCTCACTCACACTGGATCTTTCACAACAACAAAACAATACAGTGGCTTCACCAAGCCTTCGTCAACAACACGTCATGATCTTATCAGCTGATTTAAACGCCTAAAAACAAGCGAATGATGCAATTCTGTCTGGTGTGATGCGATTCAAATAAAAAAGAGGAACTCATTTTATGAGAAACCAACAACCAGTTCACTGCAAAGAAACAGTGTCAGGTCAGTTTTCATTGGCTGGAACTGATCTTTCTGTTCCCTCAGAGACACAGGTGGGCAACATGCCATAAACATACCACGAGATCCATTTCATAACACAATGCTCTACATATACAGTGATGAAATATTGAATGAGAACTAACACTAGAACATACCGCATAGAAAGCAGAATTTGGAAAGTCAAGTAATAAACTTAATATGAGAAATTATAATGAAAACACTTCAGTTTTCCTTTAAAGCCATTATACAAGTTATGTAAACTCGTTCTAATCAAGTGCCACACAAAATCAAATGGACAAGCAACTAATCTATAGACCACTTGTACGCTCTAATTGGTTCAAACAGTAAGCATTTGCTATTCATTACAGATACGCGTACATTTGTGGAATTCCCGCAGTGTGTACAAAAACACACTCACTAAAGAAACAGTGGCTCAAGTTCCTCGTTCAAACACATCCCGCCTGCGTACAGTACTCAAACATTTGACACCGCACAAAAAGTAGGTCACTTGCCTTGTAGCATTCCTTGTTCGGAGCCAGATTTTTAGAAGCCCATTCGAGACTTCTTTTTAGGCTGAGAGGCCTGTGAGGAGCTTCTGATTTGGGGAACTCTCTGGGAAGACAAGGAGAGCTTGGACGACGGAGTTGGCGAAGAAAGGTAAACCTGAGACAAAGAAAATCCATCATCCGGTGCAGAGTTCTGAGTAGATGTCTGGGAAGCGGGAAGAGAATTAAGGTACTTCCGTTTTTTCAAGGAGAGTGATGATGGACGAGGTCCTGAATCCATCCCTACTGCTACAGAAGGGGTGCTAGAGATTGGTCGTTCAACCTGAAAGTAGAGGTGCATGATATATTATTGGTTATGATTATTCCTGGTATAATGAGATTTCTGCTGATACATTCAATAATTTAAGCCAATTTTTCATGTCACTAGTGAGGATTACTTTATCACTGTATCTTACCAACTTGTAATTGAGCTGATTTAAAGGGCTATTTCACCCAACAGTCATCATTTACTTATCCTCATGTCATTCCAGACCTGTAAGACTTTCATTCATCTTCAAACACAATTACCGGTAAAGATCTTTTTTGATGAAATCTGAGAGCTCCATTGACACAAGACAATACAATACAATGACTTCACCATGCAGAAAGCCTTGGTCAAGCACACCATCATGACATTATCAGCTGATTTAAACGCCTACAAACAAGCGAATGATCCAATCTGTCTGGTGTGATGTGATTCAGATAAAAAAAAAAGAGGAACTCATTTATCGCAACTACCACTTTGACGCTTCAAAAAGTTCATAAAACTAATTCATATGAATTGAGCAGTTAGGTCAAATTTTCTGAAAATCAATTTAAGGAAGAGATAGAATTTAAGTTTTTATTTGATGGCAAACCACACCTTAGCAAATTTTCTGCAGGAAACTAGGGATGCACCGAATATTCGGACACCTAAAATTTTCGGCCAAAAATGGCCCAAAAGTGCATTTTCGGTTTTCGGCCGAAAGACTTTCATCACCGAAACAATACGCCCGAAATGTTGTGATGACGCAAACAGAAACCGCGGCCTCGTGCTTGTCTGAAGCAACATGTCTGTGGTGTGGACGTATTTCAGAGTATCTGAACCCGCGAGGAGACGAAAGCCTTGTTTATACTTTCGCCTGCTTCCGCATCCCGAATCTCCACAGAAAGTGTGAGTCTCCACAGACAGCGCGCACAGCCGCGCACCACTCCAAAAGGTCGAGGCCTTTATTCTTGATGCGCTCGCTGTTGTACTATTCCTTGAAACAACAGGGGACGACTCAAGTAACTGTCCTCTAACCATTAGGAATCGTGAGAAGAACTAAGATAAACATGTTTATTTTTTAGTATTCGCCCACCAATACAAAAATAATCATGTGAAAAAACCCAGTAAACCCTGAGATTATTACTTGTGACATCAAAAATGTATATGGGAACATGTATGTATACAACTAAATTAATGTAAAGTTTGTACACAGTCATAGCCATAAATGCATACTAATAATTGACATAATTTCGGTGTTTCGGCCTTGGTTTTCTCTTTTTCGGTTTTGGCCAAGAATTCTTATTTCGGTGCATCCCTACAGGAAACCCTGTCACATATAAACATTAATCAGCGCACACAGTTGTGGTAATCGGAAGCTCAAGCATGTTCGATTTACGTGCGAGAAACAATGAGGTTTATTCTCGTGTTGCACAGCCCGTTTGAGCTTCAGCAAGAACCAATGAGGTTTGTTTGTGTTCGCTGATCAATGTTTATATGTGAATAAAACCCTAAATTTAATCTGTTAGCGATCGAGAGTCTTCAGAAAATTTGCACTAAACCGCTCAATTCATATGGATTAGCATCAAAGTGGTAGTTGCGTAGCGGTCAATGGAGGGACAGTAAGCTCTCAGATTTCTTCAAAAAGATCTTCATTTGTATTCCAAAGATGAACAAAAATCTTACAGGTTTGTAACGACATGAGGTTGAGTAAATGGCAATTTTCATTTTTGGGTATTTGCATTTTGTATTATGTCTTGTTTTCAATTATTCTCACTTATTCATGAAAGCAAATGGTCCCAATTAAACACGCCAAAATAATTAGATAGCAGTTCCATATAACAGGGGATAAAGTCATAAAATGATCAGCCACAAAGATCGGCAAGTTATAGGTTATCAACTCAAATCAGTGAACCCTTACCCGAGAGGAAGACTGAGATTTTGACGGAGATGTCAAAAAGTCTTGATCAGGCCTTCTCAGAGGAGACTGTAAAAGAGATCGTACAGGAGATTGCCCTGGTTCTTCCACAGTCGATTGATCATGTAAAAACCGTCTCAGCATGATGGGGCTCTTTTTGCGCATTTCAGATCTAGACATCCACTCCTCCATGTCCATGGATTGAGATCCATCCAAAGGCTCGTCATTAGAATCCAGAAACTGGCTCCCCGCCGATGACCAACAAAAGTCACTTCCTTGGTATTTAACAGACGAGGTGAAGCTTCCAGAAAGCGAGATGCGACGCCGAGCTTTGGCCTGCTTCATTCTCTGACGCTTTTTACGGAGAGCAGCAATTTTCTTGGACTGGTTCAAGCCCAGCTTCTCCTCCCACCAATTTTTCCAATTGCCTTCCCACGAGGCAGCCAAGCGCTGGCTCAGATCGTCGTCCCAATTGTCAGGATCAATAGAATCAGGAACTGGCATCACATTCAGGTGAGGCAGGTAAGTGACCCCATGCGAGAGCGACTCTTTCTTCCTCATGACCTCTTGAAGGTCTCTCCTCAATCTAGTCAAGTGATCTTCCACGCGTTTATATGGCTTTTTGCCTTTTAAGCCATTTAAATCGTCTGTTCTTAAACGTCGAAAATGAGAGTGTCGTTTTTTTGCTGATGCTTTTTTAAAAATGGGCTTGAACCATTCGTTCCAGGCAGCCTGAAGATCAGGATCCTTGCTTGGGTTGGGTGGTCTGTTAGAGCAAGTTGGGTTATTGCCAATAGAACTGCTTAATGGGTCTTTGCTGATACCTTTATCGGTATCCGAAGCATTTAAGTCATCAACATCAACGTTGTCAATTACTTCCAAATGATCAAGCATCACTTGGCGTCCCTCAGCCTCTGAGTCACTCTGAGAAGAATGGACATCGCTGTTGGCGTGGGACTTAAAATTCACATGCTCTCCATTTTCTACAATACGTTCCACACAGACAGCTTGTTTTGGGATGTCCTTGTTGGTCCTGGTCTGAGCTCTTTGCAGTTCCAATGTTTGGGAAATGACGCTTCCAGTCTCTGAGAGCTGGCGTCCCTCAGTCTCTGAGTCGCTCTGAGAAGATTGGCTGTCGCTGTTCTGGGTTTCTCCAGTTTCTCCAGTATGTTCCACACTGACAGCTTGTTCTGGGACGTCCTTGCTAGTCGTGGTCTGATCTGCATGTAGTTTCAATGTTTGGTAAAAGACATCTCCTGTCTCTGAGAGCTGGAAAACGGACATGTAATCCTCATACTGTACAGCAGCAAAACCTGAGGAATAACGTGAAAGCACCACATGAGTACAGTAGTCCAACATTTCAGAGCAGTAGCACCAGTGCCATAAAATGTCTCCAAGATGGCGGCACCAGCACCTGATATACAGCAACTACTATGTTTATTTTTAATGGAAATGCACATTTGACAGTAGAGCAAAGAGCTTGAGTTAAGATAAAGATAAAAGGATCGTATGAACAGTAAAGTGAAAACAAAATGAATAATTTAAAAAATATACAACTATTTCTGCCACAATACAATGGTTACAGTTAGCATTAATACATAAAAATACATTTAAAATACATTAAATACATTAAATATAATTATCACGTCCACACTTCAACCCAACCTAAAAGCTTAGTTAGAACCCAACATAGTTGTCTAATGAAATAGTTTAATATAGTAGATACTTCATGCTATAGCATCCATCTAATACCATCCAGCTGGTTGTGAAAGTATCCTGACCTGAAACAGGCACGTTCAGTCTCTTCTGAGCGATGTGTTTCTTGTGAGGTAGCTGAAGGTTTAGGTGGCTCAGACACTCTTTGGGATTAAAAAGCCTCTGAATGGGTCCTTGAGTCTGACAGGCATGCTCCCTCCCACCTGAGTGACATAAGAGAAAAATGCAGTCATTTATTCAGTTGTTTAGTACGGTGCCTTTATTCAAAGTGATATTTTGGGTGGGGCAAAATATCGATGGGGGATATATCGTTGTCCTTCCCCGTGCGATACGAGAATCGATATGTTAGCGGCGAACATCAATATTTTAATTAATAAGGCGCTCTAAATAGATTTCCCTGCACCCAGCGTAGCTATTTCATGGCTCCTTGAAGTAACACTCAATACATGAATGAGAGAAACATACTAGCCTAAGAAAAAGAGGGTTTTAACAGGATGGTGGACAGCAGTGCGAGTAAAATAATAGATGCCCAGCCACAATTAAGTCCAAGGTGTGGACGCACTTCAGCTATTATACCATTGATGAGACAAACATGATGCTCTTAAGTTAACCGAGTGCTTCCACAGATGCACACGAGAGCGTTTGAAAACAGGCGTGTATCAGCAGACCCCGTGTGCATCTGTGGAAGCACTCGATGAAGAGCGTCAAATATGTCTATTTACAACATGCTTTGAAGCATTGGTCATTGTAGCAAATCACAGACCTAAATGTTGAGCATGTAAACCCAATGGCCAATCAGAGGGGTTTAAGAACAGTGCTGACGATCCACATGGGATGGAATCGGTGCTCTATTCACAAATGTACATAAAATGAGGATGTGGAGTAACCAAAGAGAAACTGTTGCTGATACACAAACGCCTCTCACCCGTGTACTGCAGTAGCATGATTTCCTGTGTCCTCTGAGAACCAAGCAGCAATTTGCAGGTTTGGCTTGGGGTCTGTCCTGGCAGATCGCAGGCAAATGTTGGCGGAGCCTCCATCATATGGTTCCATTTCAGCATGGGAACACTGGGAACCCGCTCATCCATGATGTAAGTGGAATACTACAGACGAGGAAACAGGAACTGCTTTATTTCTCCTAAACTGTGTGATGACATCAGATACCAGGTATTACAATCAGATACCGGGTATTACCGGGTCTTTAAAATTAACACTCAAAAAGTATGGGGTCAAGATTTTTTAAAAAGATATTACCTTTTATTCAGCAAGAATTCATTAAATTGACACGTGACCGTAAACAAAACTTTGGTCCCACTTTATATTAAGTGGCTTTAAGTAGTATCCACTTACATTGAAATTAATAATTTGATACAATGGACTTACGGATGTTTTTACATTGTACTTGTATTTTAAAAATACCTGCATGTAATTACAGCTGTAATTAAATTTGCAATTACACTGTTGACCCTTCCCTTACACCTTAAACCAACCCATACCCCACACACCTGTCCCTAACCTAATCACTTCTCAATAGTAGCAAAAGTGTTTTACAATATAACATGAACACAATAAGTACATAGTACTTATTTTTCAACGTAAGTACATAATACTTAAAGCCACTTAATATAAAGTGGGACCAACCCTTTTTTTTTAAACAAATAAATGCAGCCTTAGTGAGCATTAGTCTTTTTGATACAAATATCTTACAAATAGCAAACATTTGAACAGTAGTGTATAAATAGTATACCTCGATACATAATTATTACCACATATTTATTTACACCAAGCTAGTTCAAAGAATATCATGGTATTACAATGGTAGAGCCAAGTTGCTGTCATGGTTATAAAACACACCGAACAAGGAAACGCTCCACTGCATTAAATATCAAATCTCTAATTATACGGACAACAGCTCCAGTGAAGATTAATAAAAGATAAAAAAAAAAAAAAAAGGTTCAATTGAATGTGTGTGTGTGTGTGTGTGTGTGTGTGTGTGTACAACAAATCCCATGACATTTGATACAGATCATCGTTCAAGGAAGTTCTGGAGGATTTCACTGGAAAAAACACAAGGTGGAAAACACTCTTCTGCACTAATTTCTGACACAAACACTAATCTTGAATGGTGATATATGACAGTGTTTACCTGGGTATTAATAAGGTGGTGATGGGCGTGGCTTTTACTCAGGTACTTGGCTATTATCACTCGCTCTCCTGAAACACAACCTGGTGTCTTTCCAATCCGGAATAACGTGTGAGTATTTTCATGACACTGCATAGAGGAAGTGACAAAGATTAATAATAAATAGAGACCCACTTACAAAAAGAGAAATAAAAACAAGACTAACAAAATAGTGAAAAACAAAAGATCATAAAATACACAAATCTGAAATAAATAGTAGAGGTACAAATTGTGGTCAAATCCCAAATTACAGGCCGTTCTTCACCCAATACATTTTACAGTTAAGTTGACAAAATGTAGATAATAAAATAATTTGATATTTTTAATGACATTTTAATTTGATATTTTAAATTAAAAAATGTTCTAAATACTATATAATAAGACGTAAAAATATTAACTCTTATTAGGATTTTAAATTTTATAATGATTAGATCAAATAACATTATTATTATTAATAATAAGCGGGCTGTAATATTTGATATAAGATGATTTGAGTCTTCCTTTTCGTCATCTGTCACGCCACATCCAATCAGTCAGATACATCTAGATTTTACATTTATTAATTTATCAGATGTTTTTATTTAAAGCTACTTACAAATTAGGAGCCTTACAAAATATTCATAATACACAATGCCGAATTTAAAGCATAAACAAGAGCATGCAAGCTAGAGCAGAAGTGAAATGCAGAAAAGAAGAGCAAGAGAGAAAGACCTCATTTTAATTGTAAGTTTCGGTAAGTGCCCTTGTTTGTACTTGTGTTCACGAGAGAGGTGTGTCTTCAGCTGTATAATAATTGTATCTCTAACATCCTCTTTTGATGGAGGCCAAAACAGAGGCCAAAAACCTTTGCATGATGTTGCTTCTACTCTGGTAGGCTGTTGTTGTATTGGTGGTTTGGCCATAAAACAATGCACTAAATGTTTATGGAGGACTCTATTTTGGCCAATTATGACACGTAAAAAGAGCCACTTTACCCGTATGTCTGTAAGCTCCGCCCCTGTTCTGTCAGCATAGACCATCACTCTCGGGTGACTGGAGAACTCGCACCATCGCCATGACGACTTGGCATTGAAGTACAGGTTGGAACTCTCCTCACGGAACTTCTGCAATCTAAAAGAGAACAGAATGTCGCAAAACTCTCGCAACCACACACTGCATCATGTGGTAAGAGCATCAGCTCACTGTACAGACTCGTGAAGACATATGATAAAGTTCTGAGACAAACAAACTGACATTTAAAGGGATAGTTCACCTAAAATTAAATTTACTCTCATTTTATTTCTAAACCCAGAAGACTTTCAAAACACAAATTAAGATATTTTAATGAAATCTGAGAGCTTTCTATCCCTCCATACGCTGATTACGCAGCCTTGGACTACCAACCTGAAGCTCCTGCCGTGATTTACACTATTGGGTGTTAATATCCAATATAGTATATGTATATAGTTCGTTCCTGCTTCTTTTTTACGTTCAGAATTATATATATATATATAAAAAATGTATTTTATTTATGAAAATTTCACTGTATATAGTCTAAAGTATAAAATAAATGTATGCACATTTGTAGAATAACTAATTTCTACATTAAACACAACAATACGCCATCGCATTCATGACTCTCCAATGATTAAAGGTGACACTTCCGGTTTTCATCCCACCAGAGCCATTTCAAAATGTCGTCTGCGTGAAATCAGCGTATAGATAATTATGCAACTACCACTGTGTAAAAATTTCTGTAGAGACTCGATCACTTTATATGATGAACAGATTGAATTTAGGCTTTTATTCATATATAAGCAATAATTAACTCAAACACCAGATATGATAAAAGGAAGCTCAAGCACGTTTGCATGTTGTGTGAGAACCAATGAGGTTCATTCTCGTGTTACGCAGGACGTTCGAGCTTCAGGAAGAACCAATGAGGTTAGTTGGAACAGTATGAACCAAGCGGGTTCGATTGAGCTGTCTATGTTCTCTGATCAATGTTTAAATGCGAATAAATTCATTCTGTTCATCATAAAGAATGTGTCTTCATAAATTATTTGGACTATTATTTTTACCAATGTGTCTCTTCAGAAAATTTGGACTAAACTGCTAAATATGAATTGGTTTTACGATCTATTTACGAATGTTTTGACACGTCAAAGTGGTGGTTTCGTACCTGTCAATGGAGGGACAGAAAGCTGTAGATTTCATTTAAAATATCCTCATTTTTTGTTTGGAAACGCATGAGGGTGAAGTCTCAGATTTCAAATTCAGACAATTTTATTACAAAATTCAAACAATATATACCGTTTTGACAGTTTTTCTTTTCTTTGACGAGACAGATCATTGTTGCCGTAAACATGATTGAACATTACAACTTCCATAAATCTGCATCATGTATCATGTAGTCGCTTAATCAGAGTTTCAACCCCAGAAACACGCTGTGGGATTACAAATTTAAGAATCTGTTTAAGATCTGCTGATCTTATGTCCTTACATAACATTTTACGAAAAACTAAGGAATTTAGCATTTAAGGTTGTTATGATGATATCCACCAAGAGATTCCTGCCAGTCCTGTTCTCTCTATTGTGAGTTAAATGAGTCCGATTACTGAGACTCATCTTCTGTCTTTAAAGGCTTTTGGAGTCTCCTGGTCTTCGCTTTTTAGTTTCCTACAACATCAATAAAACCGCTTGTAAACAATGTCATCTAATGTTACATTTACCACAGGGAAGCAAAAATTAACTCAAGAAAGGAGCATTTTGCTTAACATATACACCATGTTAAATTTTCACTACATTTTTTAAGTATATTAATATTTTATTATATTCAGTCAATGGCGGAAAATGTTCAGTTAACGCACTTTTTTTCTTAGGTACTGCTCAAAATTTAGCTAAAGGACAATTTGTAGTGGAAGCTGATAGGATGATGTTGGTACACTGAGCTCTAAGCACCAGATAACAGCAAGTGAAGAACACATTGTTCTTAAAACACACGTACCCTCTGCGCACGGTCCAAAGATATGCTGCTCCCCGCTCATTAACCACCACAAACTCATTTGGCATGTGTGGACTGTGAAAGACAAAAAAGAACACCCATTAATAAGACAAGTAAGTTTCTCTCAAAGAGAAATCAAAAATTTCCTAAGCCATGTTCCCATTCTTCTCTTCTATTTTTTCCATACTTTGGAAGTCAATGGGGTCAATCAACTGTTTGGTTACAAACATTCTTCAAAATGTCCTTTTTTGTGTGTTCAGCAGAACAAAGAAACTCCTCGAGGTGTGGAAGAACTTAAGGGTGAGTGAATAATGACAGAATACAATTTTTGGGTGACCCAACCCTTGTTTAAGAAATACAAAATACATTTAGTTAAACGTTTCAATAATATATGTATTGCCATTTAAAACGGGGCCATTTAAAAATAATACTTTTCTTTAAGATGCATTAAACGTAAAAAGTGACAATTAAACAACAGCGCTCCGTTACATGCATGGCCTCCTAGGGCAGTGCATTCTGGGTGTTGTTGTCTTTCATCCACATAAGCCAAAAATACATTTTCTGGCTTTTCTCAGTCTAGAAAGCTCCAAATTCAAAAATAATTTCACATTTCTTTTACATAAATGACCCATTTTAAATGCACATTCCTCTTTCCAGAGGTGGAGTATCCCTTTAAGGAAGCCCTGAATAATCAGGATCCATCAGGAGCACAAACGTGTTCTGTGAGACACATGTTAAAGTGAGGCAGCAAGAGCTTTCAGACACACCTGCCGGTGACGCAGGAGAAGGGATCTTTGGTCTCGATGACTTCCACTAACCGTGGCTTCGTTCGGCTTCCTAGTACCCACACGCCACATAAATAATCTGACCGCACAGCCACATGACCTGCACACAGATGTTTGACATGCAATAATTTGACATAGCATGTAATTGACATTGATTTTTTACTCTGACATGAAGACATTTTACCATCAATGCATGAATTTTATTGATTACATTAGTTTGATCGGTGATCAATGATTCTTTCCAAATGTAAGCTTTGTTCTCAGCCAAACCATTTCCCACATCTCACCTTCTTCTTCCATTTTGCCAGGACTGATCTGTCTGATAGAGCCTTTCAAATAAAACACACTAGGTTGGGGTTGCAGGACAAAACTAGGAGGCTTGTCGTCATTAAAATGTTGCACCACCTTGTGGAAAACTGAGGAACTGCAGTTAAGGAAAAAATAAAAGAAAAAAACATATTTAAATGGTCTAAAAGGGACCAGGATTGGACACCCCGGCCCGGGGCAACGGTTTTTTCAAGTGGTTATGAGTGAGTCGCTATGTGCTTGCCATGGTGTTGGTAAGGTATTTAATTAAACAGGTATAAAATAAAATATGGAGTTAAATAGTTAGACATCAGCCCTCAGATCACTGACCCCTAAATAAAGTTCTTCACTATGGCATCAAATAAACTATGACACTATTGCAACTACGGTAGGAGGATACAGACTTTGTCCATCCCGACTCCCCTGGGATAGATCAGAGAGGCCACTCTGCTGCTCTGGTTATCACGCAAGGGCACAAATCCTAGAGTGCCCCCTGTATTTTCTGCACTGAACTGCAGCCGTTCCCTCTGAGTCGTCAGCTCTTCATAGAGGAGCGAGGAAAGGAGAGACGGAGGAACATCGCTCACAATATCCCTGAGAAGATGGTGCATACGACGGATCTTCTTCGAGAAATTTGCATACTCGCACCTAAAATGAGAAAGAGGATTTTTTTAACGCATTAAGTGAAACTCCACCTTATGATTTTTTTCCTTGTGACGTCAGGCATTTAAAATGTAAATTGGACAATCTTAAAACCATTTTTGTTTTTAAATGCCCCGATTATGCTATTTTAAGGATTCTAATTTTTCTTTGCACTTGGATGGATTTAATGCAGAGCACAAATTCCTAGTATGGGTCACCATCCTTGGCCACACATCACATCACTGTCACTTTGATTCACATTTAATAATCTTACCTCTTATATTTTAAGCCATTTATAAAGTCTCTAGACCAGCGCATTGACAAAACATCCTGATTGAAAAACAAGAGCAGAAGACAACTATTACAAGACCACTAGAAAACATGCCGACAACAACAAATCATTCTGACCACAACAAGCACACACATCAGCACTCCCTCACCTTTGGTGCTTTACGTTGGAAAGTGAAGTCATCCTGGAGCAAATGTCCCATTGTGGAGAAGGCATCCATAAAGTAATGCTGGTAGAAATAGTGCATCTGAAGGGAGAACAGAGACAAAACACATTTTATTGTAGTAAATAAAACATGTTGAGAAAAGTCACAAAAATGAGCAAACCCAAAGACGTTGTGAATCATGCTGCCCTAACTTACATGATCTGGAAAATTCATTGGATCTGGTAGATCAATAGATGGGACTTTGGCATCTTGGAAAGATAAAAAAAAAAAAATACATTATGCAAATTTCACCACCCGAAAAATACAAAATAATATATGACCTTCATGTAATTTAAATCTGTAAGACTTTTGCTCATCTTTGAAACACAAATCTTTGAGTTCTCTGCCCTATCAATATGAATCAATGGTTTAATCCAGGTCTTCTGAAGAGACATGACCATTTAAAGCTGCAGTCCGTAGCTTTTCCTCTTTGTCGCCATCTCTGTTCGAAATCTGCAATTTCAGTTATTTGCGAAATTATCATCTTTGCGTGGGTTGTAAATCGGTATGAAACAGTGATGAACACACAGTGTTTTGAGGCGAGTGCTGCTGTCAATCACCGCGCTGTGTGGATACTGTCATACAGAATCACAGATTTACTTTTTGAAAGTTTGACCAACACAAGAATATTCACCGGAAAATGTCTTCTGAACAAGTGAGTAACATCCATTTTGTTCTGATCAACTAATATAAGGGGGAAAAGCATTCGACATAAGCGTCGTTAGATTTAATCAACACGATTTACAACAACCGTGCAAATTATAGCCTACTTTGTTCTCAAATTGTTCATGTTAACAACATCAGCATTGCATGACTAATGTTAAATTGAATATGTTTTATGGTTACCGGTGTAGTTCAGAATTCATATTCTCCATAATAGCAAAACGAGAAGGGCACAACAAAGCAAACTCCATTAACTGTGTGAATTAAGAAAATGTACTGTTACACGATTGAACTATTGAAATGTCTTACTTGTTCAGTTTATTTATGTGCTGGTGCATCTAAATAAAAAAGTTAGGCTTAGGCCCACCAGAGCAACCAAGGCAAAAAGTTAGTCTGGAGCCCTGTAAAGCTAAATTTAAAGACTCAGATGTTCTGTCTTTTGTCTTTATTTTATTTTACATTCTACAGGAAAGTTGTATGTCAATCCCTAAGCTGCTGCTAAGTTAATATTAGGGCTGGGTATCGATTCACATTTCGATTTCGATTCGATTTCGATTCGCAAGCTCTCAGTTCGATTCGATTTCGATTCTCGATTCGATTTTCGATTCTCGATTCCTGATTTGATTCTAGATTCAACTATAATGAAGATGTAATAAAAATCCTATATTTATAATTTATAAAAAAGAACAGTGGACATAAGTTTACTAGTGGTTAATTAATACAAGAAAATTAAGAGCCATAAACCTGTATATAAAACACTTTTTATTTTAGGTACACTAAATGCATACAAAGATTTTGATGCAATATGCAAAAAAGAGTCGCACAGTCGCACAGAACAGTCGCACAGCTTGATCAAACAGTATCATGTTATTTTATGTTTAAGATAGATAAATATATAAATATTTTAAAAAAAATTTTTACATTGATCTTACCTAAATGTTAATGTATTTTTTTTTGTTAAGAGTTTATGTATGGATGCTTGATTTCAATCTTTGAATTAAATTGAAAAAAGTAGCACAAATAAATACAATAGAATAAAGACAAAAATTAAGAGACATTTTGGGGTAGTTTTTTGGGTATGTCAGATATACTACAGAAACTGAATAAAGTAATCCAATGTAAAATAACACTGGATAGTCTTTTTAGTCCAGACTGAATTAAATACAAAGGCTATTAATTCTGATTGCTTACAATTAATACTATATTCTGTTGTTATGACAACAGAATTAATGACTGACACAAATGGATGCGTTCACTTTAAGAACTAGTGCGCGGATCCATTACTGTTTCATTAACTTTCTGTCACACGCGTTTAATGCTAATTTAAGACATTACCGACTGTCTTTACGAGGTTACTCACCAAGACCAGAGTTTTGACATAATGTTGCGTGTTTTAACTGTTAAAGCGATATAATCCAGGGATAAAACTTTTGTTTCTGGCGAGCTGTTTGTGAGGCGGATTTAGGCTGTGCACGCAGTGAAAGAAATCTCTGAGAGTGCGCGAGCACGGGATGGTTTAACATTGCTTGAGCAAATGAATGATAAATGTTAGTTACGATCATAGGTTACGATGCAATGCTGGCCCGATTGTTAAGTGAATATTCCGTCGTGTCCCGACTCCTAAACGCGAGTGTGTATCGACAGCTGCAGCGCTTGGCGCTTGCCTAGTGCAGAGAGACGAGAAGATGCAGCACCGCGTCCGCGAGCCCTTTATATGGAAAAAAATCGATTCCGGCCGTTGAGAATCGATTTTGAATCGAACACATTTTAAAAAACGATTAATCGAAAAATCGATTTTTTTGCCCAGCCCTAGTTAATATGCTGGACATGTTGCTTGCAAATAAATACACAGGTGTCAATTCATGATACATTGTCTTCTCTTTAATGTAATAAATGTACATTATTGTTAAATATAGTCTAATAAGTAATAAGTAATGCTACATTATAAATAGAAGTCTTCAAATAGACCCTGTAATCGGTGATCGGTATCGGGTGATCCAGCTTCCAGTAATCGGGGATCGGCCCCAAAAATCCTGATCGGAGGACCCCTACCATTAATAATAATGTTTACCTTCATATGGTGGCATTAAAGGGGCGACGGCTGGTTTGACCGGCAGCCATTCCTCACTGTTCACATCGTGCTGGGGTTCAAACACAGGAGGGGACCACGGTTGTTCAGCATCACACTGTAAAATCACAATCAAGCCAGTTATGATACACATTCACACGTTGGAGAAAGTGAAACATGACATTATGATAATTGTGGTATAGGTGGAACAAATTGACAATTTTTTTTTATCTTTCTGTTAAACCTGTCGTGCCAGAAGAAACCACAAACAACCAGTTTTACGAGAAGTCCTACTATTCTTTTGTGCCGCCTAATAATACATTTGCGAGATGTAATCATTTTGATTCCTGTTCTTTACAACTTATCATTAATAATAACTTGGTAACTCCTTACCATAATCAATTCGATATGGATTTTTATTGAATTTCTTTTAACTCATACTGATTCTTCAAGGCGTATTAGTATCTAGATTATATCACATGTTATATGGAACATTGATTTGAGATGAAATAATTTAGGTTTTTTTTTTTACATCAAAATAATCTTTCATAAATATCTGCGACTGCAAGCAATTATCAGGGTTATTTTTCTTTTTTTTTTTCATGCAATTCCAACTTTTATGGCTACCTTATGTTCATGGCGAAAGGCTTTATTATCAAAAATAAAACTAAAGACGTTTAAGATTTCATTTTTTCCTAAAAACCTTAATACCTCAAGTCCTTAATAATATTATTAACCTTAATAATAATAAATATTGATTTACTTGGTTAAAAAACTTTTCAAAAGTATCAACAACAGAATAAATAAATAAAAAAATTCTTAAAAGGGGCCCAGCAAAATATGTTTAATGGACAGTGGATTCTGTCAAGTTGAACACTGGTGAAATTTACTCCAGATAGTAAAATGTTATGTGTCTTGAGTGTCCGATTTGGCCTCGTGAGTAAATGACTTGATCCCAGCGATTATTTAAATGGAATATGTTTTTCCCAAACATCAAGATTTATACTAATTATAAAGCACATTATTATTCTACATCCCTTATTCCTACCCCCCATATCTAAACTTAACTAACGTAAACTTACTATTAATAAATAAAAATTAGGCGACCCTAACTAAAGTATGAAGTTATAAGCATGCATGCATTTTTAATGCCAGTGCTCAACGCATTTGCAATGTATTCTGTGCATCAGGACGGATCTGTCACTTTTGTTATGATGTGAATCGTCTCACCGGCCCGGCACCAACAGTGCGCACTCGCTCGTATGAACCCCAGCCTCCATAATTGTGTTTCGCCTCTTCTTCAGGCGGACCATCCAGATACAGATGTGGATAAAGCTGATCAGGAAATTTGTTGTCCATGATGGTCGCGAGGAAGTCCTGTCTAACGTTACCCGGCCCAGAAGATCAGACAAGTCCGGGCATGTTTTCGTGAGTACGGCCGCCGACGTGCGCACTGATTTAAGATTGTAATATGTCGAAAAATTCCTTTTCATACAGAAACATGTTGGAAATATTAGACGGTATAGCACGCGTTTATGAAAAACGTGGCTGGCAAGAGACCGCGTGCGCGCTAAACAAAACGAAAACGTGCTTGCGCTGCTCACGTCATACGCTTCAGCTGATCCACTGTGAGGGAAGCCAGACCGTACGAGACCGGAAACTATTTAAAATAAGAGCCTTTTAAACATTTTAAAATAAAGACTGGTCATACACTTGTAAGTAGCTTAGGTAAATAAATAATTTAAAAACAAAAACATTACTAATAATAAAAAAAAGTGTAATTGTGTTTTGTTTTTCCTGTTAGCCCTTACGAAAAAGAAGTTTAATCAAGTGTGCCATTAGTATACTTCTGTTAAACTAAAAATAAGAAAGTATACTTTCAGTTTATTTTTCCTGTACTTCTCAGAAGTATACTAACTTATATGTACTTCTCAGAAATATACTTCAAATTACACTTAAGTGTACTTTACTTATACTGAGAGAAAAGCAAGTATATTTGTCCTGTTCTTGTACTCAATCTTTTGATCCAGAAATACTTAAAAGTATAGACCATTTCACAAGATGTAAACAACACTGGTCCAGAAGCACTTCCTGTTTCAGTTTTTAACACTACATAAAAGCTGGGATAAAATACAACCAACAGAACATTTAAAACTGAATGAAAAAGTTAAACAAACATCTTTAAGATGTTTTCTTTACATGTGAAATAAAGAAAACAGTTACAAACTGAAACAGGAAGTGCTTCTGGACCAGTGTTGTTTACATCTTGTGAAATGGTCGTATACTTGTATAAGTATTACAGTAAAAAAAGTAAACTACTAGTATACCCATACATTCACTTGCAGTACACATGAGATACATAATTATGAACTAGTTGTGCACTTACTGTTACACTTATAGTACACTTAAACATATACTTTTATGTACTAAAAGTGGGGCAATTTAGTCCCAAGCGGTATTAAAATAGTACACTTACAATTTTACTACTAGTACATAGTGACATTAGTATACTTACTACATAATGTATACTTAAAATATACTTGAACATTAGCCTACTTAAGTATACTACATAAAATGAACTTGAAATATACTTCTTTTTCGTAAGGGAGGTTTCAGCAAATTCACTGTAAGTTAGGCCTTTAGTCTGTAATAAACTAATGAATATAAATGGAGTGCCCCCACTTAGTTGTACATCCTGAATTTTTAAACGTTTTTATTAGCTTTCAGCTCATTTACGTTTTCAACATAATATTTGTTACTTTAAATACTTTACCTGTCGTATACTGTAAAACCCAACAAGTTAAGCTAACTCATTTCATTTGAGGAAACCGACTGCCTCAATTCAATTTAGTTTATAAAAACAATAGTTATGAGTACTCTGAACTTATTTTAATCAAGTCCTCTAAAACAATGATATTTCTGAATGCACATTTAAATTTTACACTGCGTTTAAATACTTTATATAGCTGAAATTTCACTACATTGAGTAAAAACAGTGTGGATGCTATGCTACAGTCCTCAGATATGTAAATGAAAATAAAAAGAAATGTAAGCAAAGATTAACAAAATAATAACCATTAAAAGCATTTTTTTTTCTTTGGATTTTGACAGTCATTTTTGATGCTTTACCTATAGCTAAATTCTATTGTTTTTATAATTGATGTACTTCACACACTTATTGAACCAAAGTGAATCAACACTGAACTGATTTCAACTGAATAATGACTGTTTACTACTGTCTTTTTAGAACTGCTTTACAGCAGAATTGAATCCTCATTAATTGAATCCTCATTGAATGTGCATCATTGAGTATTTTCCTGTTAATACAGTAAAATCTGAATCTGTATTGTATAAAGAACTATATAAATAAAAGTTATTGACTTACCTAATTAATCAAAACCCAAAACTTGAAATAGATTGAGCTTTTGTATTTTCAAACGCTATAAATAAAGCTGTATTCTGCACAAAAACAGGAATAAATAAGGCCATAATTAATTTAATAATTAGGACATATTAATGTCTAACGCTTAATAATACAAACATTTTACAAGGTTTTCCTTTGCACTTAATAATATATTAATTTATTATATGTGCATTTACAATGACAATATAAGCACAAAACACTTTACTTCTGTTTCCCAGTAATCCCCACCTGCCTTGTGGTTCACATTCCTGGAAGGTTACGCTTATGAAACCATAGAGGTTGTCACGACATCGAGATGCATGAGTTCATATCAAGCATTTGAATGTTTGCATTTGCCTCAAGCACAATGGATAATTCCAACTAAAAACCACAAGATCATACCATCCATGGTCATAACCAAAAATAATAATACAAGAGGATATCATACATCAAAATGTATATATTTGTCAAACAAGAGGAGATCTTTGTGAGATAACAAAAAAAGAGAGCAGTCTAACACAACATTTTCTTATGGCTATCAGTTGTAATGATATTGGCTTTAATCTGGATTAAACAATAGATGACATGATTGTGAATTCTATAGTTGCAACTAGTCACCATGAAATCAAAACTGACCATTCTTGTTTTGGTTACATTATATTTTAAGGTAAATTGTTAGTTTATTTTTAGTGTTATAGTCTAGTTTGGGGTTAGTTGTAAATAATTCTGCATAATTAATATAGTATGTAACAATGAAACTATAAAATAAAGTGTTACCCTTGTTTTTTTATAGAATATTGCAGTGTTTATTATAAACAATTTATCCATGCACATTGTAATCTTTAATTAAAATATATTTCCCTCCCTCTTGCAGCAGCATCTCTCTCTGATGATGCGTTTATTGGCGCGAGGGCGGGGCAACCTGTCACTCACATGAGATCACCCAATAGCAAACCACAACCATCCAATCATTTCCCAATGAACAAAATCAAGTCCCGTGCCTTCATTTCTTCCTCATTCGAGAAGCCATCGCAATATGAAAGAAAACACTATCACATTTCATGTCGATTTTAAGTATTTTTTGGCAGTCAATGTCGAATCTTGCATTTTTTGATGAATCAAATTTAAAGAAATGAACACCACTGGACCCTAGCGAGGCAAATGGCATTTGATTTAGGTCCATAAAACCTAAAAATAATCAGACAAATCGGGACTTTTTTGTTTTATTTGTTTTAATGACTATATTAATACTGTGCTTTAAAATAACAGGTTTAAATAGAGGCATTATCATAAAAGCATTTACATTCGCTATACAAACAGACAAACTTTGCCTTGGTCAACAAGGCTTTATGTAACATTCATAACACACACTGAACACAGTCCAGGCAGTATATTACACCCCTTTCTCTCGGGGCCATTCAAATGTCTCTCCATTTGTATTCAGTATAAAAGGTGCAACTCCTGTCCAAGCGATTCAAGCCAACTGGCTGGAACTACGAACTATTAGTTCTCCTAATGGCACTTCACACATTAAATACTTTAAACCTAGATCAAGTAGGTTTTAGAAATAAGACCAAAACAAAACAAAAAGCAGATTCTAGATTACCCCCTTTTTAGTCAATATGGTCAACATGAAATCACAATTGACCCTATATACTTAATATGCTTAATGCACTATTGTGCAAGATTCATCAAATGTGCACTACTGTTCAAAAGCATGTGGTTTTTGAAAGAAGTCTCTTCTGCTCACCAAAAAAGTAGAGTAATATTGTGAAATATTATTACAACTTAAAGTAACTGTTTTCTATTGTAATGTGTAATTTGATGCAAAGCTGAGTTTTCAGCATCATTACTTCAGTCTTCAGCATCACATGATCCTTCAGAATCAGAAATCGTTCTAATATGATGATTTGCTCCTCAAGACACATTTCTGATTATCAAGGTTGAAAAATATTTTTCAGGATTCTATTTGGAAATGGAAATCTTTTGTAAAATGATGTCTTTATTTTGATCAATTTAAAGCACTCTTGCTGAATTAAAGTATTCATTTCTTTAAAAAAAAAAATCCAGTCATCTTTTGAACAGTAATGTAAGTGCTGGTAATCTTTTATCAAAATGCAACAACTTCCTCTGCCGTTAAAACGTTTTTCAATTTCGCCCGTTTCAACGAGTTCCCATTAAACATCCTGTTTCACTTGGAAATATGCAGGATTGCGTGCGGAAGGTTGCGCAACATGTATCTCATGTTGACTCTATGTAGAGATGCTAAGCGCATGTCCTTTGCGTCCAAGAAAGTAGCGTTTGGTTCCGACAGTCCTGGACATGAGCATGAAGAGAAACGGATCCAGAGCGCTATGCAGGCAACACAGACACACGGCCACACTGAAGTAGATGTAGAAACTCTCTGTATTGCTAACAGACAGCAAGACGTAATGCACAAAATGAAAACAGCTGCTTGGGCCGAAGCACAGGCCAAAGATCACGAAGTTAAACGTGCTAGCTCTGATGTAAAGAGCCCAGTCCTGGTGTGAGCGGTTCAGGTGCCAGACGATGGAAGTGTAACATGCTACTGTCACCACTAGGGGAAGGAAAAAACCTACACAGGTGAGGCCAAGGTTATAATAGACAAGCCACTGGTAGTAATATATGTTGTCCGGAAGAACGTCGTGGCATGTGATTATTCCAAGTTGTGTGATGCGGTAGCTTTGTTGCACTAGGAATTCAGGGAGAAGGGCAATAATAAATACAATCCAGATGGTTACGCAACCACAGGTGGTGAACGTGCGTTTTGGCAAACTCTTATAGAGAAAAGGATGCACCACGGCAATGTAGCGCTTGATACTAATGCACGCTAGTGTGAAAGTTGAGCAGTAGAGGTTGCCGTAAAAACAGGCGGTCGTGATGCGGCAGGCGGTTTCACCGAAAATCCAATGGTTCCCACTGAGATGATAGTGTGTCTTCAGCAACAGGCTGAACAACAGCAGCAAGTCGGACAACGCTAAGCTAGGCAGATGACCCTCACTTTGGTTCCACGGCGACCAAAATGGCGATATTGGCGGGAATGCCGACAACGATGGCTATTATGTAGACAACTGGGATGAAGCACTTGCTCAGAGGACCTCGGAGGTACTTTTCCGTGTTGTTGCTGCGTAACTCCACTTCCACAGACGGGACGACAAAAGCTTGCAGGTCTGTTGTTTGGTTAGGAGAAAGAGGGAGGT